AGTTTTGATAAAAAGTTCGCAATTGTAACTTTGATCCATATTCAGTGACTAGGGGTTTTACGATTTTTGGTCTGATTTAGACAATTTTTGATCAGAGGTTGGCTTACTTTAAGCGCACTATTCCGACAAAATTTTATGCCGGTACATTCATTGGTGAACGAATTCCATATTGGAAAGTGAAAGAGTTAAATGGAATTTAAAATTATATTATATGGAAGTAGGCGTCCGATTTTGCTCATTTTTGCAGTGAAACATAGCCAAAATAATTTTACGTACTGAACTTGGCCGATATCAGTCGGTTTGGTCTTGAGATATGGGTGGTCACCGAATGGGGGCGGTGCCTATCTCGATCAAATTTGGATATCTTATTTAAGTGTTTTGGTATATATACTATAACTATACCTTAAACTTCTTAGAGGGCGGAATAGCGCTCCTTTTTCCAAACGGAAGTGCCTTTAGCCCACTTTGGCACTTACTACTGCTACTGTTATTCTTAAGCAACACAAACAACCGTTCATGTTAAAGGAGTATAAAAATACAACCGTGAAGGATATTACAGTTTCACTAAACTAGGTAAGTTTTTCGTGATTTTTTTACTCTTTATACAATTTGTTGCACTTTCACATTAACCACTACTAAGCTGTTTGCCGTTTCTTATAGACCTTTTTAATTTCTTCCATTACAACCAACTGGCACTTCTTGCAATTAATGCGCTTGTTTGCACATACTGTTGCATGGCGCTCTCTACCCAAACCTCGCTTCCACAGCCGCTATTGAAAGAACGTTTGCATACAAACGTGGCCGCTGCAAAAGGCTCCATCGGCAAAGGGACATTTCCTATTTTACTGCGCTCTTTTGAATAACCGCTCTCTTAGCTAATTTATAAGAAAAATGGAATTAAAAAATATTTTCACAATAAGATGTTGGCAGCGCCTGGGTGCGCTGTGGCATAAAAGCCACAGCAAAACGATGAGACAACGGCAAGCTGCAGCAGAAACGCTGTTGATGTGTTTGTAAGCAGTGGTTTAAGTATGTGTGCGTTTGGTGTACCTTTGGCTGGTAAAAGCACAACAGCAAAAATGTTGAGGCCAACACTTTGATGGAATTTTTGATGGTTTTTAATTACAAGCATCACTCGACACAAACACATTTATGTGTAACAATTTTTTTTTTTTTTTTTTGTTGTATTTCAAATGAATATCTTGATATTGGCTAACGAACTCTGACCGCACACATAAATTGCATAGATGCTGGCATCATTCACTTGCGGCCATGTCAGAGGGTTCACCTTAAGAAACGTATTTGCCTTGAATTGATGAGAAAAATTAATTAAAATTTTATATTTACTTATAGCTTGAATTGTGACGGACGTTAAGGCAAAATAATGTTTCATTATCAAAAAAAAAAATAAATTTCAATATTGGTTCAGTATTTAGTATTGAAGACATGACATTAAATATTCACCAAAATCAAAGTAACATATTGATTGTTAAATATTCCATGTGTTTGGTTGGTCGATGATATAATACTGCTGCTCTCATATCCGAAATCAAATTGTTTTAGCTTGGACATCGAGTATTCCCAAAAAGCTTGGTAAGCTTTTCGTTCTAAGCTAAGCTCACCTTTTACCAATCGGTCATTGATCGACACGAATTCATGCGGCAAAGTAAAATAAAAATCTGTAATGACACTTGAAGAAGTTGCTTATTATATTCAACACTTACCTTCCAACTGTCCCGATTTTGCGAAATCAAGACTAAAACAACTTTTTTCTTACATAGTTAGATATCTAGAGGAAATACATTACAGAAACCTTTTCGACTACCCATAAGAATACAACTCTGATCTCTATGAACCTTCTTGCAGATTAGGCATAGCACGTCACATAATTTAACCATGTTTTGATAATAAATTAAATAAGAACAAGGAAAAGCATTGAACTCCCTTCCATTCGAAGCTCATGGCCTAGCCAGCGCAGCCGCTGTCCCTTGATGCGCTGAACTAACATATACGTTCCATCGACTGTGCCAATGCGCTAAGGAACATAAATCTTCCGCAAAACCTTTATCTCCAACACTCTTAAAACCTACTCATCAGATTAAATCATTGTCTATGCCGCGGCACCATATAGCAGGACTGGAATGATGTCAGACTTGTAGAAGATTTTACTTTTCAATTACATACTCAGTCCGAAGTAGCACCTGTTGGCAAGAGTTATTCTGTGTTCGATTTCGAAGCTGGCAATGTTATTGGGGTTAACATTGCTTCCAAGATAGATAGAGTTACTTTTGCAGTTTTCACGCACTACGCTCGATAAGATCTTATATCCGATATTAAATAGTCTTATCCCATGGTAATTGGCGCAAATTGTGGGATCGTCCTTCTTGTAGATTAGGCAGAGCACATTTAGGTTCCAATCGTCGGGCATGCTTTCAACCGATCATATCTTGCAAAGAAACTGATGCATACACCTTCTCAGTTCTTCGCCACCCTATTTGAATAGCTGGGCCAGTGATCCATCGGTCGCTGCTGCTTTGCTGTTCTTCAGTTATCATAGTGAAGCAATGGAGAATCTATTACATCGCCATTGAGTTCGTCATTTAAAGATGTTACACTTTTACCGCTGTTCAGCAGGTTGGCGAAGTGTCTCAGGTACTATATTACCAATTTGGATCCTACAATGATATGCTACGGTCTTAAAACTTTCCGTAAATCGTTAATATCTTTTTGTTGAATTTTGGAGCATTACCCCCGTCGACCAGTCTGTCAAGCTCTTCATACTCACGCTTCTCGTCCTCTCTTTTGGTTGTTGTCACTATTGGTTGTCATAGTACCTTCCCGACGTCGTACGTGTGTTTGTTGATAGTCGTGGCCGAAAGTAAAAATATATAATAAATTTATTTTACAGACTGACCGATATCTTTGGTAAAAACTGGACTAAAAGCTCCATATACCGTATTCGGTTCTGAGGGATTTAACAGTTGTGATCCACTTTCGACAAATTTTAGGAGTGAGTGTATGTATATAGTGTATGTATTTTCGATAACCGATAACTTCATTTGGGCTTGATTTATAGCGTCTATCTTTTAAAAAAAATAACAAATTTGGTCAAAATGTGCTATATATATATATATTTTTTTTTTGGCTACGCTGGTAGTTTTATGCTATTTATGATTTGATCAAAATGATCACCACAAAGCAGTATTTCGGCGATGTTGCGCTGAATGCTATTTTTGGGCTTCTCGAACGTTGCTGGTTGATAGGCGTAAACGTTTGAACGTTAATTTCCGTAATAATCATAAGAAATTTTCAGGCGTTGGAGCAAAGTGACTGTAAATCCATAAATATACATGACCGCCTCGAACTGTCAAAACTACGTTATCCCTCTTGCTAGACGCTGCATATACTGTCAAGTTAAATACTCAGATGAAATTGAAAATTGTAATATATGGAAAGTAAGCGTGATGTTAGATTGATTGTATTTTCACAAGATAACATAGGAATGAGAATGCACATGATTATTGTACGATGCCATCCATTTTCATATTATTTGAAAAGTGCTGATTGAACTCCTCCAGTCGTTGTTTTTTGGACCGGCATAAGTAGTCTAATAGAAGGTGGTGCCACGCATACCTTTTTGATATGTTCAGCTTATGGTGAATTGAAAGGTGCCCGATAAAACAAAACAAGTACATTTGATGCAATTATGTATGGAATGCGATTTATTTTGGGCAGGCTTGCAGAAGTTCAGACGCTGAACAAAATTTCCGACGGTTTTCAAGCATAAATCGGTTAATACTGCTGCAATTTCATGTTCAATATTCGTACAAAGTCCATCGATAGTCGCTGGCTTGTTGGCATCAAACATAAACTTGACGTAGCCGTACAGGAAATTATCTAATAACGTCAAATCGCACGACCAATTGACTGGGTCATTTCGAGAAATAACACGTTCACTAAACTTGGTTTTCTATAAATCGGCTATAACATTCACTGTGTGGCTGATGGCGTCATCCTGTTGGAATCACATATTGTCCAAGTCCATATCATAGAAATCGGGGCAAAAGTAATCGGTTATCATTGAGCGGTACCTATTCCTATTCACAGTAACGTGCCGATTTTGATCCTCATGGTAAAAGTACGGCCCAATGACACTGCCGTTCCATAAACCACACTAAACCGTAATTTTTCGGGGTGCAGTATTGATTCATGGAGTAAGTGTATATTTCTGTCTTATATGCAAATAATGCTTATTTTGCTTATTGACGAAGTCATTCAGCCAGAAATGAGCCTCATCACTGAAAATGAATTTGCAGTTGTTGCTCAGCCCAATTCAAGATCTTTTTGCAAAATTCGCCATAACGACGTCATAGAGATACCCAACCCTTGAAAACGACAAGTGAGAGACTGATTTGGGTCTTCATCAATTGATGTGCTAGCGGCAGCAATATTCTCGCACTACTGGCACTTCTTTGTCTGGCGCGGGAACATTTTATACTGTGGATGTGAATTCAAATTTTTCCACCAAACGCTCACTGGTTGATTTGACAGGATGATTATGACAACCATAAATTGGACGTAGTGCTTTTTAAGTTGAGCCCACTGACTCCGAAATTTGGTAGTAAATTTTAATAATTTCAACTCGTTGTTGGATCGTATATTCTTCCATGGAAAAATGGCAATCCTTACTGCAGAGAAACATCGGGAAAAAATATGGCGTCGTTTGCTCTCCCTATCGATCTACTTTTGTAATGTCCCTATTGAAAAATCAGTTAGTTGCCATCGTATTTACGCTAAGAAGTGTAGTAATGCTCTCAGCGAGTTTAAAGTCTCTTAAAGACTACTGTTTGGTGCATAAACTGTGGGGTTACTGCTGGTGTGTGTTAGAGTTAAAATCACAAAAATATTCTAAAGCCCACAAACAAAGAAGAGACAAATAAAATTGAATACGCCACACCCTGCATTTAAGGATATAATCGGATGCAAGAAAAAAGGCTTTGTTTACATTCTCTTGAATAGCTTGCTCAATAATATATGTTATATATTTAGAATCTTTACCAAATTACGAATACATATACATTTCCATATAAACTTGTGTATGTATGTATATATTGTAGTGCAATAATTATCGTTATGTTTTCGTTTCTCCCTTTATCATAAATGAATTGGCATTTATAGTTCAAAGTCAAAGTTTCAATGCTGATATGGTTGTATGCAACCGCTATTCGCCGGCAAATCGCATTGTCCCTTCATGGCGTTGAAATAGGCGCTGCCACAACTGACTTTCAGTGCAAGACCGTTACGGCAAATGAAGTATTCGTTGCAGCTTCGCAGTGAGGGTAGCATAAAACCGGTTGGTTTATCTTGACAAACGTATTTTATGTATAAATCCATATTAGATTGATGAGATTGCGGTGGTAAGACAGATATGGGTCGGACCGCTTGCTGAGATGGTCGCACAAATATGTTGGACTGTAATGTTTCGCTTGGGGTTTCGTGTGGTACGTTGTTTATATACAGAGAGCTTTGCGGGCATGGTGTAGTTATAGTTGGGCATGGAGTTGTTGTGCATGGTGGTGTTGTTCGTGTGCACGGTGGCTTAACTGTCGTTGGGGAACATGGTGTCGGGGTTACCGTTGGTGTTACAGTTGG